CAATTCAACCCAATCCATCCCAACCCAACCCAATCCATCCCAATCCATTCCAACCCAACCCAATCCATCCCAAGCCAATTCAACCCAATCCATCCCAACCCAACCCAATCCATCCCAATCCATTCCAACCCAACCCAATCCATCCCAAGCCAATTCAACCCAATCCATCCCAACCCAACTCAACCCAACCCAATCCATCCCAACTCAAACCAATCCAACCCAATCCAATTCAACTCAACCCAACCCAACTCAACCTGACCCAACTCAACCTGACCCAACTCAACCCAACCCAACCCAACCCAACTCAATCCCACCCAATCCATCCCAACCCAACTCAACCCAAACCGACCCAACTCAACCTGACCCAACCCAACCCAACCCAACCCAACTCTCTGGTGCAGCAGGTGCTGAGGGACCACCTAAAAATCACAGTTCCTTGGAACACGACTACTTTGACCTGCTGCCTGTTCAAACATCCCCAGGGTCACCCCCCTGTCCTTGGCTTCCCAAGGTTTCCCTGGATCCAGGGAGTTCCCTGCAGCCCATGTGGTACCTTGCGGACGTGGCAGGAGAAGAGGACGTTCATGTACTTGTCCTTCCTCTTCAGCTCGTTGGCCACAGGGACGAAAGAGCCCGAGCTCTGGGGGCTGTCTGGCTTCTGGAAGAGCAAACACAGGCTCAGGACCCTCCCTGGGGACTGAGGGCAGGGGGATGGCAGTGACCAGGCTCCCTCCCGCCCGCGCCTCGCCAGGGAGTTCTGTGCTTTGTGAAACCAAACCTCCACTGAGCAAACCATTAAAGGAAAGAGAGCAAAGGGAAGCAATCAAACCTGCCCAGGTTTGTTCCTGTTCACTCTATGCCTTTTTCCACTATATCCAGCATTTTAGTGTTCCACTGAGGTCTGCCTTGGCCCATTTCAGAGCTGATGGCACTGCTTACCACCTTTAACTGCTGGCGCTGCCCAGAACTCAGAAAAATCACTCCTGGAGCAGTGGAAGTCAGGACTCCAAACTACATAAACCCATTTACACAGCAGATCTCAAAGTACTTCTCCCTTCCAGGAAAGCAACAGTCATTTTTCCAGATTTCCACCCTTTTGGCCCCTTTGACCCAGGGACTGTGCCAGTCCCTCAGACTCACCAGTGCGATGTAATTCCCCTGCCAGGCCCTCTGGAGGCCAATGTCAGCTCTGTGACCCTTCAGCACCTCCATGGCAGCCACCTTGGCCCTCAGCTGGGGGAGGACTTCTGGTGGGACGCTCCGGATGAGCTCACCCGCTCTCCACCTGCCAGAACACCCCAGTCAGTGCCACAGCCTGGACCACACCCTGGAGGGACTCCTGCTGCCACAAGGACCCCCCTAAACAGTCCTTCCTTGGAGCTGGAAATGCCAGCTGACATTATAATACCACAGATCAGCTCCAACCTGACAGTTTTGGCTGCCGAACTCCCTCCCCTGCATCCAGAAGTCAACTCCTGGTGCATCTGTTTGCAATAAAGTGTTTCCAAGACCACTTTTGGGCTTGTTTACAACATCATTCTTCTTTAACAGCTGAATTTGGCCCTTCAATTCAAACCTGACCAACTGCACCATGGAACAGCCCATCCATGGCCCCACATCACGCTCCAGCCTTCAGCAGCAGCACCACGTCTCCAGGATTAATGCTATAAAAAGACTTTTAGCAACTAAAACTCTGCAGTTATGGTAATTGTGCTTATTCTGAAAGCAGGGCTCTCTACCCAGACAGGCTGTGGGTGGATGGATGTCTCTTTTTCAAGAGACAGCTGGGGAAAATAACAAAGCTGACTTGATCTAGAGCTGGTGGTAACCCCTCCTGCAAACAGATGGCTGGATGGGAGATCTCTGACAGCCCCTCCAGCCAACATTTCTTTTGTTCAGCCACTTTCAGAGATTCATAATTTTTCGAACTGGAATTATAACTACTTTGCCTAAAGCTTCCCAGAGAAAAAAGTCACCAACTTTTAAATGCCAGGAGGTTTGATAACAGTACAAACACCTTTTCTGCCCACAGAACATGGGTGACCAGGGGAACATTGCTCAGTGCACTGCAGGAAAACACTGCCTTGCTGCAAGAAGCCAGAAAGATTCCTTTTCTCTTCCCCCTCATCCTTCAGCAGCTGCTCTTTCCTTTTAAAACCAAGCAGAAAGGCCAGAAAGGGGCCAAGGAAGGAAATACAACGTCCAGCCTCATTAAATGACTTGGGGCAACCTGGGCTAGTGGAAGGTGCCCCTGCCCATGGCAGGGGTGGAACTGGATGAGTTTTAATGTCCCTTCCACCCAAACCGCCCTGTGATTTATTGAGATTCTATGATTTTATTTTATCTTATTTTAATGGAACATTCCAGTGGAAGGTGTCCCTGCCTATGGCAGGGGGTTGGAACAAGATGGTCTTTAAAGTCCCTTCCAACCCAAATCATCCTGTGATTTGATGAGGTTCTAAGATTGTATTTTATCTTATTTTACTTTATTTTAATGGAACATTATCTAGTGGAAGGTGTCCCTGCCCATGGCAGGAGGTTGGAACAAGATGGTCTTTAAAGTCCCTCCCAGCTCAAACCATCCCGTGATTCTACACTGGTCATTCACTTGAGGGTTGGACTTGAAGATCCTTGTGGGTCCCTTCCAACACAGAACATTCTGTGACTCAACAATAAATCTCTGAAACAACAAATACCTGCTCGGCCAAACCCACTCCACCTCTCCCCCCCGATGTTCTCGGTGCTCTGCCCGAGGGTTCAGGCCCCAGCAGCAGCCGTGGGGTGAGGAGGGCGCAGGTCTGGGGTGTACCTGTGGTAGATGGCCTGCAGGGCCTCCTCGAAGCGCCGCAGCACCTTGGGGGGCGTGGGCCACTGCACGTTCCTGCCGCGGTCCCGCAGCTGCCGCACGTTGTGGAAGCGCCGCGAGACCTCCCGGATGTAGGACTTGACCTTGTAGCGCCGGTAGTGCCGCAGGATGGTCAGCGCGGCCTTCGTCCGCCGGTAGCGCAGCCGGGCCAGGGTGCCCCTCCAGACCTGAGCCGGGGGGGGAAACAGCTTTAGAAAGGAGCAGCAGGATGTTGGTTTGCTTTTTGTACTCCTCTGACAGCGATGAAAGCCACGGGTTTATCTCAAGGGAGTGACTTCCCGAGCAAACCCAGTTAAAACTCTGCTGGAAAACACCATCGAGATCCCGGCACATGGACCTGCTGGAGAGAGTCCAGAGGAGGCCACAGAAATGATCAAAGGGTTGGAGCACCTCTGCCACGGAGAGAGGCTGGGAATGCTGGGGGTGTTCCCTTGGAGAAGAGAAGGCTCCCGGGAGACCTCAGAGCCCCTTCCAGGACCTAAAGGGCTGGAGAGGGACTTGGGACAAGGGATGGAGGGACAGGACACAGGGAATGGCTTCAAACTGCCAGAGGGCAGGGTTAGATGGGATATTGGGAAGGAATTCTTCCCTGGGAGGTTGGGGAGGCCCTAACACAGGTTGC